CTCTGGAAAAGGTGCACAAAGAGAAAATTTTGTGATATTTTCTGCCAAGTATATATATCGACATGGGGCTAGATCTGTGCATCAGCTAGTTAATGCTAAGTCATGGAAGACAAACAACCCATGCAAATTTTTGGCTTGCTATTTTTTGCATGTCACATATAGAAAGAAGGATTGTAGATTCAGGGAGAAAAGGTTTTGAAAACACCTTAAGGAGGCTTCTCCAACACAAGCACAGGGATCACAGGGGTTTATTCTATGTAGACTAATGTCAGGGGAACAATAAATATTAGCAAATGAAGTAGATGATGTGTCTTGACTTATTTACTTTAGGAAAAAATATTGGAAAATTTATATCTTAGACTGACAGTGTATTATCACAGCCTCTAAATTACCTTGTGCTATGAGATTGAGCAATGCAGGCAAATTTCTGCAATTTCAGTGTTTATTCCAATTTTGACATGATTTTTATGCCACAGAGCTTTCTGGGTAAGAAGTTTTTAAAAATGATTTCTCTCTCAAACTCTGGTTTTTGCTTTTGGAATACACCATCTCATTAATTAAGAGGTTGAAGTCTAATTACTGCATGTCAGACTTCACTGGATTATGTAAACAGCAACCCTGTCATTACAGTAACTCAATTCATATGCTTTTTAAAAAAAGAATTCCCAAAGTTTTAAAGCTCACAGCCATCATTTAAATGGAACATTATAAAAAAGAAAAAGCAATTTGAAGCATCCCATTCTTAGCTATGTATTGATTAAATCTATTATGCTATTAGTACTTTTCTTGGCTTTAGTCATACTTTCAGTAATATTCAACAGAAACTATTTATAGTAGCTAATAGCATATAGAAGACCTGTTTCTTACAATGCCAAGTTTATCAGCAAACAAAAACACTTCCCTTAGAATTTGAATCGCATAGGTCATTTGTGATAGGCACATAACTTCTAGCTTCTGATCATTGGCTTTAGTAATCATTACCTTGGTAATGAAAAATAAAGTACAATAGTGAAAATAGGAGCAAGTAAAATACGAGCAACTAGCAAATCAAAACCACACATTCTTATGAAACAAGGACTGCCACTTCTAATAGCACCAAATCACTGTATTATTCATTTAGCAGTTTAATAAGTTTTATGGATGAGTGGTGAAGCCCACATTCACTATAAGATGACAAGGAACTTAGTTTCAATTCAATTGCAATTTCCTTTGTGAATTTCAAAAGTTTCCAAAGCATTTTTTTTTATAAACAGAATGCTCTTTTCCTTAACCAAAATGCTTTTTCAGACACCAATGTAGAATTACCTATGCATTTTAGTGCTGATTATTTTTAACCATAAAATTTCTCTTTGATTAAATCCATTTATGCTTTACAATCTATGAAAATGACAGGTAAAATATAAACATGAATTATTTCTAATTTATAGTACAGTTGTACTTACCCTTAGAGTCCTTTTCTTGTATTGCCATGTAACTAAAATAGGACTTTAAATTTTATCTCCACCTCATGAGCTGTGTGATTAGGTCTTAGGAAAGTTGCATTACCTGTCTAGCCTCATTTCCTCCATCAATAAACCGGGGATAATTACGTATGCCTTATACCATTATTTTAGGAATTCAATGAAATAAAGTACAAAATTTGCCAAATATGAAATATCACAGTTTCTGAGCACAATACTGTTGTTTAGTGTTGTTTTCATATCAGTAGTATTTTGGAAAATAGCATGTCTAATAAATGGACTAGAAGAAACATGGCTGAAAAGATAACATGTAGGTACTTTATGTTCACCATGCAAGTGTCCATGATGGTTAATGTGACTGGATTTAATATGTAAAATTTTTCTATGTTGTTAAGATATGGCTGCAAAGTAGATATGAATTTCTGAACATTGGTCCATTAATTTGCCCACAGCTTGCATTTGTAGTAATATTTTGAGATATCAGCACTAATTTGCACATATATTTCATATGTAATATTTTAAGATATTAACTGTGAGTTTTTTCCTCCCTCTGCTTCCTTCCATTAGTTACCTTTTCCCTATCATTTCGGTAGTAGCACCTAGCAGGCCAGGGTGAAGACAGATACTTCTTAAAGTATGTATTAAAAACAATATTCTTTAAATCATAGCTTTTGAAGAATTGTGATTGGACAAGGAAGTAGATTTCATTTATCAGAGGAAAGACTGCAGGTATAACATTGACAGAGATGATACTTAAGACCAGGAAGAATGGATTCTGTTTCTGCAGAGGCCAGTGATGTCAGAGAATGGCACTTGGGCCACAGCCTTGCTTCTGATGACAAAGCAATTTAAACTCCTCAGGAACTTACCATTTCCCAGGAGAAGAAAATGAGGACAAGAATTATGAACTGAGTGGTAACCCCAAAGAGAGTTTTAAACAAGAAACACATGAGAAAGACCATGAGATGGTTTGTATATATACGGTTGATATATTGGAGGCTTGGTCCTCAGTGTGGTAATGTCTAGGTGGTGGGATTTTAAGAGGTGGGCACTAGTGGAAAGTCCTTAGGTCCTCAGGGATTGCATAGTTCTCCTAGAACCTCAAGTAGTCCCCAGTGGCTCTTTGGATTCCCATCTTGCAATATGATCTGTCATTCCTGCACATGCTCCCACCATGATGCCATCTGCCATGAGGTAATGTAGCAAGAGGGGCCCTTGCCCTTGCCAGAGCTGGTGCCAAAGTATCCTATTTGTACTTTCGGCCTCCTAACCTATGGGCTAACTAAATTCTTTTCTTGATCACTAAACAGCCTCAGTTATGCTGTTATAGTAACAAAAGAGAGTCTATCCGAACACTAGGCTAAAGGTCTCATATTCTAAGCTAGATTCAGTTATACGGAAATAAAAATAAAAAAACTTCAATTTTCCAACCTTAGGCTTTATGATGGGGCTGAAATGTCATATCTACCAATTCACTAGGTTTGAGGTCACTTCATATTTTAGTTCTTGATTAATATTAAACTCTCCACTATCTGAAATCATGTTAAAGATTAGAAAGAGAAAAGAAAAATGCTTTCTCTCAAATAATTGAACTTCCTCAATATTGAAAATAATTGCATTTATTATTACTGATACTTTTAAAAACTACATTATCTGAAGTAGATTAGACCTCTCTATATTTTTTTATCTTAGTTTAAAAGTGAACCTGAATGCAACCATTTTGAATTGTAGCCACCATGGGTGCCTCTGAGAAACCTCTGGCCTGTTTGCCTTATAGTTACCGAGACTATGAGAGATTAACAAAATCATTAGAGAGGTATGTGGAGCTTTATGACCAGACCCTAGCACTGTCAGCTCCAGAAATATGCCTGACATCTTTGATGTTAGCTTGTGATAAGTCCAGGTATACTTCTACTTGGGTGAAAGCCACTCTTTTTAAGCCCACATTGATATGGATCCACTAGTCTTGTTGTCACTCTTGACCATGGTTGTGTCAGTAAGTCCCCAGTAACTTGTACTCTGTGCAATCTGGGATCAATTTGCCCCTTTCTGTGGTCTCTTGACAACTCTCAACTAGTGCAGTCACTTCTTAAACACTGGATTTTCTTGAAACTACAACTCAAGGTGTTATTTATCATGTATAAATATTTTAATCTCATGATAAACTTAAAAAGTTTAGAAAATTTTTCTCTTATAAGGTATAGCTAAAATTATGAAGTGTCAATATAAGAACTCTTAACCTACAAATTATATTAAAATATACTTATATGATCAGAATCTATATCAGCCTTATCTCTAGCTGACTTTAGTGGGTACTGTCTACAATCTGTAAGTTTAACCATTTTCATTTGTAGCTGTGTTTCTGAGTCATGGACCAAAGCTGATTATGTTACAGGATAAGCTATTTGAAATGTTAACCACAGTAAGCCAGGCTGAACCATGATAAGACATAATGAGATTATTTATATCAAGTTTTATATCAACTACACTTAGTATGAATCTCAGGCACATAGAAAGGTGAGGAGAAAAAGGATTTGAAATGACTTGTTGATGTTGGTTTGAAATCATTTAATCCTACTAGAGAATATTTAAAACAGTCCCTGCAATAATTAATATTTTGTTTTTGCCACCAAGTATTTGGCTCATTGGAGCCATGAAATAGCCATAACTTATTTTAAAAGAAAAAGTTAACATTTGACCTATTGCCATGGACATGTTTCCTGAGTGAATGAAAATGTTTGTCTATATTATTTAACTTCTTTCAAGAACTTGCTTGTATTTTTGCTTTACATGATGTTGTAACTTTAATTTAGTCACAGTAGAATAAAGTATGTATAGACAGAAAAAGGAACAAAAATATTACACATTGTAATACTCTAAAATATGTTATTTAATAAGAAAGAAAAAATGATTGTTACCTTCTGGATAAAAGAGAAATCTGAGTGAAATATCTGGAACATTAAATATATAACAACATTATTGTGAATAATAATATTTGTGGGCTACTATGAAGGCAGTCGTAAAAAGCATGATCTAATAAAAACTTTGAAAACAACCCAATTTAAATTACTGAAAATCCGATTGTTTCTCTTCTTCTAATTTTTTACTTTGTAGGGTAATGAATACAACATTGTTAAAATGTAAGCATAATGGGGGTCAGGGCTGTGGCTCAGCGGTAGAGCACTCGCCTAGCACACGTGAGGCCCTGGGTTCGATCCTCAGCACTACATAAAAATACATAAAATAAATGTATTTAAAAAGATGTAAGCATAATATAGTATTCACATTTGAAATATTCACAAAGGTCCTTCCACTGTTTTCTTGTAAGCATTGCTTTTGTCTATCTAGTGCCATCCGTTGTAAGGTTGGGAGGTACTTTAACCAACAGATAACTGATTCAAAAAAGAGAAAACGCATCTGTCATTTAGACAGGCCTTTGCCAGTAGAAGCTGGTTGTTAAGTAACCAAAGGGTTTTCTTAAAATTCTGTCCCCAAAGTTTTGTTGTCATGATCTGTGTTCCACATTGCCCGATGGCAATGTCACTCTTTCATTCCAACACATTTTCTTAGTTCAGCTGCAGTTTTTTCCAGCTGTTGAATGTTCCATTGCCATTGTCTTCTATTTGATTGAAGCTTGTTCACCTGACAATGTAAACGCTTAAGAATTGCATAATACCTCTTATGTTGCACCTGTGAAGAGAACAGCACACATCAACAGGGCTTGAGAAGAACACAACAGCCATGAAAGATCTTTTGCCTACTCTAAATAAATAAAATAAAAGAATTTGTCACTGGCAGACCTACCCTAGGATAATGAATTAAGAAGTTTTCTAGCAAGAAAGGAAATGATAAAAGACAGAATCTTAGGAGATCAGGAAAGCAGAAAAAGCAGGGTGGAACAAAATTAGGGATAAAACAGGGAAAGATGGAGAAGTCACAGTGAAAGTAATGGGTTTCTTTTGAGGTGAAGAAAATTCTTAAAATTAATTTGGATGATGGTTGCATAAATCCGTAGATATACTAAGAGCCACTGAATTAAATAATTTGAATGGTGAATAGAACATGAGTTATTTCTCAGTAAATCTCTTTTCAAAACTCAGCTGATGAAATTGCAGTTTGCCTATGAAAGGGGCACAAAACAACTTTCTGGACATGGTGGGAAAGTTCTATGTCTTGATCTAGATGATGGTAACACAGATGCATGTTTACATTAATCAAAATGAAAATCAACTCAAACAAACTGGAAATCCATATGTAGTAAAATAAAATTTAATCCCTATCTTTATCCGGCACAAAAAACTCAAAGTGGATCAAGACCTAGGTATTAAACCAGAAGTACTAGAAGAAAATGTAGGCCCAACACTCCAACATGTCATCTTAGGAATCAACTTCCTTAATAAAGCTCTTAAAGCACAAGAAGTAAAATAAAAAATCAATAAATGGGTTGGTATCACATGAAAAAGTTTCTTTTTAAATTTTATTTATTTATTTATTTATTTATATTTATATACAACAGCGGAATGCATTACAATTTTATTACACATATAGAGCTCAATTTTTCTGGTTGTATACATAGTGTACTCACACCAATTCGTGTCTTCATACATGTACTTTGGATAATAATGAGCATCACATCCAATTATTATAATGAGCATCACATCCAATTATCCCATGCCCTCTCCCTTCCCCTCCTAACCCTCTGCCCAATCTAGAGTTCTTATATTCTTCCCAAGCTCCCTCTCCTTATCCCACTATGAATCAGCTTCCTTATATCAAAGAAAACATTCAGCATTTGTTTTTTTGGGATTGGCTAACTTCACTTAGCATTATCTTCTGTAACTCCATCCATTTACCTGCAAATGCCTGGACAAGACAGGGATGCCCTCTTTCACCACTTCTATTTAACATAGTTCTTGAAACACTGGCCAGAGCCATTAGACAGATGAAAGAAATTAAAGTGATACATATAGGAAAAGAAGAACTCAAATTGGTACTATTTGCTGATGATATGATTCTATATCTGGAACATCCTAAAAGTTCCACCAGAAAACTTCTAGAACTAGTAAATGAATTCAGCAAAATAGCAGAATATAAAATCAACACTAATAAATCAAAGGCATTTCTGTATATCAGTGACAAATCCTCAGAAAGGGAAGTGAGGAAAACTACCCCATTCTCAATAGCCTCAAACAAACAAACAAACCTTGGGAATCAACTTAATGAAAGAGGTGAAAGATCTATATAATGAAAATTACAGAACATTAACAAAAAATTTTCTTCACAGCAAAAGAAACAACCAAGAGTGTGAAGAGAGAACCTACAGAATGGGAGAAAAATCTTTGCCACCGGCACCTCACATAAGGATCTACAAAGAACTAAAAAATCTTAACACCAAAACCAAAACCAAAAACACCCAAATAACACAATCAGTAAGTGGTCAAAGGAACTAAAAAGATACTTCTCAAAAGAAGAAATATGAATAGTTAAAAAATATATGAAAAAATGTTCAACGTCTATAAATCAAATAGAAAATAAATGTCAAAATACACTTTGAAATTCAAAAACAAACAAACAAACAAGCAAATACTACACTGAGATTTCACATCACTCCAACCAGAATGATAATTATGAAGAATACAAGTAACAATAAATGTTAGTGGGATGTGGGGAAAAGGCTACACTCATACATTGTTGGTGAGACTACAATTAGTACAACCATTCTGAACAGTACCAAGAGTCCTCAAAAAACTAGGAATGAAACCACTATTTGATCTAGTTAGTTCACTATCCAATTTTTAACCAAAGGTGTTAAAATTGGCCTACTAAAGTGACTAAGTTACATCAATGTTTATAGTAGCACATTTCACTATACTTAAGCTATGGAACAACCTCGATGCCCATTAGCATATGAATAGATAAAGAAATTGTGGTATATATACACAATGGAATGTTAATCAGCTATAAAGAAGAATTACTTTATGACATTTGCCAGTAAATTAATGGATCTGGAGACTATCATGCTAAGTGAAATAAGCCAATCCCCAAAAACCTAAGGTTGAATGTTCTCTCTGATATGTGGATGCTAACCCACAATAATGGGATGGGGAAGAAAGAAGTTCATTGCTTTAGACAAACGGGAATGAAGTGAAGGGAAAAAGAGATGGGAATGGAAAAGACACTGGAATGAATCTGATGTAACTTTCCTATGTACAGATATGGACATACCATAGTGAATCTCATCATCCTATACATGCACAAGTCCGGGATCCTAATTAGAATAAGATATATTCCATGCTTGTCTAAATATATCAAAGTGGATTCTACTGTCATGTGTAACTAAAAAGAACACATAAAAATAAAAAATCAAACATTTACAATTTATGGACTTATGACAATTGTGCCTTGATAAAACATGTCTGCATAAGAAAAGTACTACATAATCTCAAATTCCTCTCCAAAATGCTTTTAACAATGTATACAGACACAAATAGTGTTTAAAACTTCAGGTGTTCTACACCTTACCAGCTTCAAAAAAAATTTAAGAGTTGAGTCTTGTCTTCTCTATTGTTATGGTGTACTTCCATGGTATCTCTTTATAGAGAACATGAAAAGGTGAGTATTTTATCTTTAATACTTCAGATGCTTTTTATATTGTGTCAGATTAGTCATAATCAAGTGAAAATAGGTATCTTCTTAGTTTTCATATTAATGCTGTCATAGTGGAATGCATTTTTACTATTAAAAGCGTATTCTTTACCATATTTGTCTCCATTCATGTAAATAATAATTCACTGTAAAAGTCTGCAGGTTTTTGATGAGAATTTTGTCTCATTTTTGGTTTTACATATTGCTTTTTAAAAAACTTGGCTCTTGAGAATTACAACTATGTAATCAGAGAGATTTAGAATGAGGACGATTCCCATTGTCTTTCACTTTATTTCTAGGAGTATCTGGTGTCTAGGAATTGTCATCTTCTATGACTATAGTCTCTGCTGTCTTGCCATTAAGCAGATATCAAGCTGTGGGTGCAATGAAACCTGAAAGAATTCTAGGCCATATTTAAATAGTAGTAATTCCTTTGCTTGAACATATTTGAACATCTTTGAGTGAGGAGTCTATCTATTAATAATATGCATTTATTTAGTGAATTTTAACATTTTTTGTTCTCTAGGTGTTTTGATAATTGAGAGTAAACTATGGAAACATGAATGTAGCATATGCTTAAAACCTGATCTTACAAAACATTGAAATCTCAATAATTAACACTTACCTCTATTTCTTCTGTTAATTTTTCATGTCTCCTTTTTTCTTCCTCAAGAAAACAAGTTTTTTCAATGATAGATTCTTTTACAGTTATAATTTCATTCTTTAGCTTTGAAATGTCTTCCTGTATAGTTATTAAATTTAAAATATACAAGTCAGAAAGGCATGGTTCATATAAACCTGCAACATTCAGTGTGGCCATATTTTAAGAAAAGTAGGTAAATTAAATTTTAATTTTGATACATAGGATTAGATTATGACTTCTATAGGTATACTGGATAAATAACTATTATTCAAACAAAGCTACCTTACTTTGAAAACTCAGAAGTAAAAACAAATTAAGACAAAGGAAAGTGGTATTTATGATGGCATTTGCCTGACAACAATGCAAAGGATACTTAATTCAATAGCAAAAAAAAATGGTATTTTAAATTTGTACTTATTATTGACTTCAAAGAATAGTAAGAGAAATAAAAAGATGTTTAAAGTGCAATTCTTAATTCAGACTCTTTCCATAACAGCATACTAAATTGGTTGGAATTGGTCTGGATGCATTGGCATAGAAGCTAGAGCCTCAACCTTTCTCTGAATATATACTTTCTGTAACACATGGATTAACTGTTCACTGTGATTTTGTTTAACTATATATTTTTTAGAAATCCACAATGTATTTGTAAATATTTCCTTTATGCATTTGCACATTTGAGGTAGTTGTTATCTAAATTCATGCACTTATCCAAGTTCTTAAAAATTGTGAAAATAGTTTCTGAATGTAATAAAATAGCATTTTATTAACTTAATGATGAATGTACTATTTAATACATACTAGAATGAAAGAAAAAGTTTTGATAAGTAACAATTCAAACCTGTACTTGTGTCATTTGGTTCCCTTCTGGATTTTGGAGATCTTGTATAAGTTCCTCTTTCATTGTCTTTAGTTTTTTTACTAGATCTCGTTTTTCACAGAGTTCAATCATAAATGACCATTGGCTTTCTATCTCCCCCAAACTGTCTTTATGTGCTTTTATTTTTGCATAGTAAGTCTTATATTTTATCATGCGTTCCTCAAAATCTTCTTGGGCCATTTCGATATCAAACTTAAGCTTCACATTCTCTGTATATAAGGACTTGATTTGAGATTCCAGGCTTCCACATTGAAGTCTGGAATTCTCTATGGCAGCATCCTTCTGATAAATTTGCCTCTCTGTTTCTTTAGTTTCTGCAGAGATGGCTGCTATTTGCTTTTCAAGCTCATGAAGTTCATTCTGTAATATATTTCAACATTATCATTATTAATTCATGGTACTCAGCATGAGAGGAAAATTGTTTTGATCCATAATGCATATAGGAAAATCACTTAACATAAATAAATACATTAATCAGATACAGAAAAGAACTGATGCATAATAGAAGGAAATATGCAATAATGTAACAATTACTTTCTCAGAAAGTTCCCAGAATTATATATTTCTTGCTTTTTAATGGTCATCTAATTCTAAATGTTAAATTTCATCATTTTGTTTTGATATTTTATGTATAAAAATATTAAAACCATTTAATAATATATTTTAATAATATATTTATGGGTGTCAAGGAAGACAATATAATAAAAATGATAAAACCCTGACTCAAGAATTAAAAGACCTGCTGGGATCGTGGTCAGTGGTAGAGCACTTGCCTCTCATGTGTGAGGCACTGGGTTCAATTCTCAGCACTGCATATAAATAAATGATAAAATAAAGGTCCATCAGCACTAAAAAATAAAATAAAATAAAAGACCTAGACCTAGGTTCCAGCAGCCCTTACTGCTGTTCACTATTTTGTGTGATCATGCATAACAAATTTAATTACCCATCCCACCTCCCTTTCTTCACTTGTAAAATGAGTATTAAGATATCTACAATATCTATTTTATCTCTCTAGGGCATTGGGCATAGCTAACTGGTGCCTCCTTAAAAGGAGTTTTTCTAGCACCACTCTTCCTCATTCTCCTTAGCTATCTCTGAGCATTCCTTCTTAATCTCAGTGATTTCTTCAAACACAGGTCTTCCTCAGAGTTCAGTAATTCATCATTCCCTCTTCTCCCTCTCTACATAACCCTTGGGTTACCTTGCCCATACTTATAATTTTCAGCTATGCATCTACTGATGATACGGAGAATAAAAGTGACTTTTGAATTCCATAGCCAGATGCCCTTGGCCATGGCAAACTCATGTCCCCAAAAGACTAATTTTTCCTCCCTTCCTAGCCTATTTCCCCTTGTATCAATTATCTATTGCCAGAACCACAAAACCTCAGTGATACAACAATAAATACGTGTTCATGACTGACATGACTGGGAAAAGAAGGGGTTGGCTAGGTGATTCATATGACTGGGAGAAGTGGGGATTGGCTAGCTTGGCTAGGTGTTTCTAATCACATCTCAAACACCTGTGTGTGTGTGTGTGTGTGTGTGTGTGTGTGTGTGTGATCTGTACCTGAGAATCAAATCCAGGGCCTTGCAAGTGCTCACTGGAGTCACATCCCTGCCCTGGGGCGGCTTATTTTCAAAATTGCTTTTAGGCAGAAATTTTAAGTCCCCTTACTCAGGAAACATATTCATTTAGTTTCTTCTCTTGGAATTTTTTAAAAAGGAAAATATGAATTAACCACAGAGTTTTGTATCCAGTTTCCCAAGTAAAACTAAGAAATGAGAAGGAATGGTATGGGTGAGTGCCCTCATCAGTTGCCATTGTTATTCCCTCTGTATGATAATGAAACTGAGGTTCTGAGATGTTGAATAACAAAGATAATTCATCATTTCACCAGTAAGTGTCAAATACTGGTTTTGAATTTTGAACTCTAGTCAGGCAGTTTGTAATTTTTTTGTTTCTCTCCTACATTAGTATACAGATACTATGTACTAAGTACTATGTCTTTTAAACATACAGATACATCTGAAATTTAAGTATTTATGTATTTACCAAAGAAAAAAATGTCTGTGGTTTGGCTGGTTGTAAGACAATTTAGGTTGGCTTTGAACTGAGCTGGCAGGGGTGTCTTGCTACTACTTTATCTGTCTCCTGTCTTCCAGTGGGTCAGCCCAGGCATGTCCTTCTCATGATGATAGCAGATACATAAAAGCCAAAGCTCAACTATTTAAGAGCTTTTAAAAAGCTTTTGCTGGAATCATATCTGCTAATGCCCCAGCCAGTCACATGATCAAACTCAAGAGTCAAGTAGTGGAAGTATGTCTACCCATGATGTGAGAACATTATAATGATATGGGAAAGGGTGTCAATATAGAAAGGGATGAAAAATTGGGAACAAAAATGCAAATTAACATAACTCAATATTCCCCAAAGTACTTAACAGTATGGCTTTTAAAAAAAAAAAAAAAACTATACATCAAATTCTATAAATCCTCCCACCAAAATAATTGCTGGCTATCTCCATTCCTTTTTTCTATCTATATGGTCATTCTCTTTAAATAAAGTTTTAATGTTTGGAGGAAGGTATTGTATTAAAAAGACAAAGGCCTTCAATCCTTTTTCTGACAGAGACCAAAAAGATAAGTACATTGAAAAGTACAATATGCTGGTGAAACTCAATTTTTGTCTTCAGTGCTAATATTTCAAATGCCCACTTGACATTTCGGTTTGGATGTCTAATAGACACCTCAGTTAGATATATTCAGAAAATATTTAAGTTACACACTGTTTGCCTTTCATTGCTGTGACCAAAATACCCAACAGGAACGATGGAGAGGAGGAAAAGTTTATATTGGCTCATAGTCTCAGAGGTCCAGTCCATTCCTCTGGGTCCAAGTGAGGCAGCACAACATAGTTGAAGGGAGTGGTGGAAGACATGGAGACAAGGAAGTAGACAGAGAAAAGTAGGAAGGAAGTCACAGGGAAGATGAACCCTTCCAGGGCACTTCCCCAGTGACCTACTTCCTTCAGCCAAACCCCAGCTGCCTACAGTTACCATCCAGTACATTCACACTAGGATGGACTGATTAGAAGGTTAAAGCTTTCACAATCCAATCATTGCACATCAGAACATTCCTGCACTAACACAGGAGCTTTTAGGCGACACCTTATGTACAAACTGCACCACACACCAAACATGTTCCTCCTTACTTCTTCTGATTCCAACAAACTACACCATTTTCCACCTGGATAATCCAAAGCCATAAAGTTATTCTTAACTTTTCCATTTCCCTTATCCCACATCCTACTTCCCACCAAAATGTGAGAATTGGTTCTCTAACATAAATCCCCACATTTACTTCTGACCAATCTTTGTGGTGTGGCCTAATTTCTAATCATCTTCCTATTTTCATTCTTGTCCTTCTCTTAGGCTCCATTTATCAGGAAGAAGGATCTTTGAAAGACATTTATCATGTCATGCTACTTCCATGCTCAAGAATCTCCAGTGGTGTCCCATTGCATTAATAATAAAATTCAAATTCACCAAAGTGGCTTATATGGCTTTATATGCTCTAGTACCTATCGACTTTGCTATCTTTCTCATCTATAATTCTCCCTTCTTCTAGCCTCCTTTCTGTTTATTAAATAGGTCTAATTCCTTCCCAAGAGCATTTGTAATTGTTTATTTTTCCATCTACCTTATATTCTCAATCCTGGGCTTGAGATACAGCTCAGTGGTAGAGCACTTGCCTGGCAATCATGAGACCCTGGGTTCAATCCCCAGCATGACATAAAAAAAATTCTCTAACACTGCTGGGTCTTGTCACAATTCAGCTTTATTACTATTCCTCCAAATAGGCTTCTCAGATTCAAAATATAATTTAACCCCCTTTCCCCTCCCACATTTGCTCTCTATACATTGCCCTCCTTTATATTTTTTGGAACCCATCAGTGTCTAAAATTATCCATTATTTTATTATTTTTTAAGAAAACTTCTTTAATTTTTGCCTCCCCTAACTGTAAAGTAACTCTATGGCTGCAGGAATCTTTTCTGTCCTTATCACCATGTTCCCAATGCTTACGATAGTACTAGCACAAAGTAAGTACTCAGTGTTTATTAAGTGAGTGATGCACATGGTCAGGAAAGAGACAAGTGTTCTGTCAGTTACATTAGGATATCAACTCTATTTATTAATACAGGGAGAGGAGATGAACACTACTTTGGTTATCATCTCCTCTCTTTTCTGATCGAATGTAACAGGCTGTTAAATTTTATTACTAGCTTTTTCCTTCAATACATTTCCAACTTTAAATTACTACCACTACTCCTTCCTCTTCTTCTTCCTCTTAATCAGCCTCTTGTTTTTCATCCTCCTCCTCCTCCTCTTTTATCTTTCTCTTCTCTCTTTTCTCAGTCTTGTATGCTCCTTTGCTCTAGCTTTTTGAGGCAAAGTAGAATGAAAGAAACTACACATACTGAAGCTGCAATTTGATGAGTTTTAATATTATTATGTTCATAAAGTCATCACAACAATTAAGATAATAAACATATCCATTACCCCAAACATTTTCTCCCCTTTTCCTTCCTACCTATCTTCCTTTCTTCCTAGGAATTTTCCTTCCAAGGAATTTTCCTGGCATGAAGATTTTCAAGTGTTCTTCTACTATCTAATTTTTTAAAAACTTGGGGGTTTTTTTGTTTGTTTTTTGTTTTGTTTTGGAATGAGGTAACTCTCAATGGACTTCTAGAGAGCTTCAGAATGGGGACTGGCTATCAGAAAGGCTAAGACTTGATTAAAGTCCTTATCTACACTGCCCCCACCTCTTGGGAGAGGAGAGAGGCTAATAATCAGTCAACTTACATGATGCAACCTCCATAAAAAAATTTTCATGATGAATTTTGGAGACCTTCCAGGTTGGTGAACACATCCAGGTTCTGGGAAGGTGGTGTGCTCCATATGGCAGCTCTATGCAAGTCCCTTCCCAGCACCTTGTCCTGTGCATCTTCTCTGTTTGGCTGTTCCTGAATTGTATCTTTTATAATAAACTAGTAATAGTAAGTAAAGTGCTTTCCTGAGTTCTGTGATTCACTCTAGCAAATTATTAAGCCTTGAGTATGGATGGGGGGTAGACATGAGAAACCCTCGTTGTGGTCTGGATCTGGTATTTTCCCTGAAGTCTCATTTTTTGAAGGCTTGGTCCTCAGTACAGCAAGGTTCAGAGGTGGGCTTTTGGAAAATGATTGATGGTGAGGGCTCTGATGTCATCAGGGGAATAATCCACAGACAGCTGCATGGACTACTGGGAAGTGGCAGGAACTAAAGGAAGATGAGGCATTTGGAAGGATATAGATC